ATACCTTTAGCATGACTATCCGTGCACAGCTACGCTGAGTGCCATGATTTGCTGGATCGATGCACTTTTCCGCGCGCGATCATACCAAAGATATGAACCAAAGATTTCTTTTTTAAGGTGGTTTTAATGCACCAACCATTCTTGGCAACGGCAGTAGGTACTTGGAGAATTTAGCGTCGTTTTTGGAGCCAGTGATCAATAGTTCAGTCCGTAGTAGGTTTGTTAGTTGTTGGCACGCTAAAGAGGACGGCTGGGCGGCATCTACGTTCCACAGCAACTGTGATGACAAGGGACCCACTGTAACTATCATTCAAGTCCGCAGTTTTATATTTGGTGGATACAGTGACGTAACCTGGAAAAGCCCCGTACCGGGTGAGTACATGTACTAGGGGAATCAGGAATTGTTTATTTTGCTTGCTAACAATGAAGAACGATAAAGTAGTACAGCGGCTTTTGGCTTGATGTTTTTCTGTTTACGTACAACTCAAGGCGAGAAAGTAATTCCTCAGCAATCAAAATTGGCCATTTTCATGATGACGTCACTTGAATACAACTACCAGAAGTTTGTTTTTCTCTAATTCACAATTTAAATTAAATTATCCCTGTCAGGTTTAAATCTTATAAGAATCGATTTTGAAATACATTTTAAAACAAAAGTCATCATTATCAAAGATAATATATGCTTCCACGAATTATGTTAATTTCTACAGTATTTCTTATCGTTTGATAATGATGACATGAAGCCATCGAAACGTCAATTTACTTTTTTATCGTTGATTTCAGGTTTAAATCACAACATCAATAAACAAAATCTTGCAAAATTTGGTTTCGCCCTCTCCTTACAAAAACCCATTAAGGGGCCAGTGGAAAGGAGAGGACGCCTCTGGTCGCAGCCTAATTTTACTGAATTATCTTTAAAGTTCTCTAACTATGAACTGCGGACTCTTTTTAATGAAGCAAAGTGTCGCTTAAGAACTAGCCCCCCCCCCCCCCCCCCCCCCCCCCCTTGTATGTCAAGCCGGACTTGCACTCACTATTTTAAACTGAAGCCCGGATTATGGAATATTCCTAGAAGCTGATTTTTTATGAGCGCCTTCAGTAAGGTCAGTAAGAATTGTAAAATGTCGTCATTATTTCACAGGTCTTTGTCAGTTTGGAAATTCAAGTAAAGCCTTCATCTACTCATTAACCAATAACAATGGTTCTGGACACGCTGTGTACAATCCTGTTAAGCTGCGAGTCAAGTCAGGTAAGGACCATGAAGCTGTATACAGGTGTCATCTTAATGGACCAATATTTGGCTGGCTTGATATTGCCATATCAAACAACTCTGCTAGTAACAACGATTCTCACACTTATTGTGACTGGAGCTACCCCCTCCCCCCAGGGTATTCTTTATCTCGTTCTAACTGTGCATTTTATGCTGGAAGCTTCAGATTCACGCCAACAGATATCGAAGTATTCTATGAAACAACCACATAAAGAACTGTATCCTGAGCTTTTGACTTTGTGCTTTTCGTTGTTGTTGTTTGTTTGTTTATGACGATATGACTTTAATGTAACGCAATTTGAGCTCCTCCGCATCCTTCGATCCAGTTTTCCCTCTTCTTTACTTCCCATCATCCCTCGCGCCCTTATCCGTCCGCTCCGCTGGGAACCAAGCCTTCTTCTTTCACTTTAGGGTCTCTGTGGGTTAGCCTGCGAACAGCAGACGCATTTCCGGTCGTCGCTTCTCTGTTCGCAGGCTACTGTGGGTAGGTAAGACAGGTAACATTAACCGTAGCACCAGCATAGATAACACGCCAATAGAAACAGAGCTGCAGCTTACTATTATCAGATAACGGTGATAGAAAAACCTCATTGAAGGAATGAGAGAGAGCGTTTTTTTGCTATTAGCAGCTCTGATTCGCCAGCTATAAAATAAAAGGTAAACGTAATTTTGAAAGATGTACTGATACCAAACCAGATTTGCCTGAAGAGTACGTATCGATACTTGAGAATGACACTATATTGATATCGTATCGAACATTCCAGTATCTTTCATATACCTTGGTACGGAGGGTGACAACTCTAACAAAGGCTGTTTGGGCAGTCCTATGAATAACTTTATGTCCTCCCGGAAATTTCGTCGACCCTCCCGAATTGTTCAGTGGCATTCGCCATTGTTTTAACAATAAAAATTAAAATTTTAATTAGAGATTTTTTGCAGCTTCTTGTTAATTATGTAACTTTAGTTATTTTTTCGTTTAGAGGGCATCATGTTAACACAGAAAGACTGTCAAACTTTTTAAGTATATAAAATCGTGTGTTTTTGTTTNAAATGTATTAGATGTATGTGTGATACCGTCCGTCATTTGTATTTTATGGACTTCAAGTAGGTTTCAGGCTCTGTCACAGTAATTCGATAGATCTGAATTCAATTACGATTCTAGTTTGCATAAATCTCTTTTCAGGACAAAAACCCTGGTCTTTTGTACTAACACTGAGGGATTCCAGTTTAGGGAGAGCTCTCTTTCTGCTCATCATGGAAGTTTGGTACACTTCTAAAACTGCCTAATTTTCTAGAATAATTTTCTCCTCCCCCACTAATTTCAAAGTCACTACAGTGTCATTACTGTACTCAGCAAGACAACAAATGGATGTGTGGTTCATGACACACTTTTAGGAACATTGAAAAATTTATACAAATACAGCAAATTTTAAAAATCAACGCAGTAATGCACGGGTTGTCTAGGAATGTTTGTATGTCAAGCCGGACTTGCACTCACTATTTTAAACTGAAGCCCGGATTATGGAATATTCCTAGAAGCTGATTTTTTATGAGCGCCTTCAGTAAGGTCAGTAAGAATTGTAAAATGTCGTCATTATTTCACAGGTCTTTGTCAGTTTGGAAATTCAAGTAAAGCCTTCATCTACTCATTAACCAATAACAATGGTTCTGGACACGCTGTGTACAATCCTGTTAAGCTGCGAGTCAAGTCAGGTAAGGACCATGAAGCTGTATACAGGTGTCATCTTAATGGACCAATATTTGGCTGGCTTGATATTGCCATATCAAACAACTCTGCTAGTAACAACGATTCTCACACTTATTGTGACTGGAGCTACCCCCTCCCCCCAGGGTATTCTTTATCTCGTTCTAACTGTGCATTTTATGCTGGAAGCTTCAGATTCACGCCAACAGATATCGAAGTATTCTATGAAACAACCACATAAAGAACTGTATCCTGAGCTTTTGACTTTGTGCTTTTCGTTGTTGTTGTTTGTTTGTTTATGACGATATGACTTTAATGTAACGCAATTTGAGCTCCTCCGCATCCTTCGATCCAGTTTTCCCTCTTCTTTACTTCCCATCATCCCTCGCGCCCTTATCCGTCCGCTCCGCTGGGAACCAAGCCTTCTTCTTTCACTTTAGGGTCTCTGTGGGTTAGCCTGCGAACAGCAGACGCATTTCCGGTCGTCGCTTCTCTGTTCGCAGGCTACTGTGGGTAGGTAAGACAGGTAACATTAACCGTAGCACCAGCATAGATAACACGCCAATAGAAACAGAGCTGCAGCTTACTATTATCAGATAACGGTGATAGAAAAACCTCATTGAAGGAATGAGAGAGAGCGTTTTTTTGCTATTAGCAGCTCTGATTCGCCAGCTATAAAATAAAAGGTAAACGTAATTTTGAAAGATGTACTGATACCAAACCAGATTTGCCTGAAGAGTACGTATCGATACTTGAGAATGACACTATATTGATATCGTATCGAACATTCCAGTATCTTTCATATACCTTGGTACGGAGGGTGACAACTCTAACAAAGGCTGTTTGGGCAGTCCTATGAATAACTTTATGTCCTCCCGGAAATTTCGTCGACCCTCCCGAATTGTTCAGTGGCATTCGCCATTGTTTTAACAATAAAAATTAAAATTTTAATTAGAGATTTTTTGCAGCTTCTTGTTAATTATGTAACTTTAGTTATTTTTTCGTTTAGAGGGCATCATGTTAACACAGAAAGACTGTCAAACTTTTTAAGTATATAAAATCGTGTGTTTTTGTTTTTTTATCACCGATGAATCAGGCGAACAATGAGGGGGCCAACCACTAGGGGGGTCTGGGGGCATGCTCCCCCAGAAAATTTTGAAATCTTGGTGCTCTAAAACGCCATTTCTAGTGTTCTAAGAGGACAAATTCTGTCAAAAATGTTCTCTAAATCAATTGTCCTTTTTATGCTTATTTTTATGGGCGTGACTTCGCGTGGAAGTAGTCAATTTTATTTTATACAAGTTGTGCGGTTTTTGGAATTGCTCTGGATATCACTTTCAGCTAAGTATACTCTGTGTGGTGTCATTGTATGAGTATCTTAAGAATTCATTTGAAAATTTCAGAACAACTGTCGAAATCTGAAATTTACCTATCCCGAACGCATATTGATCGGGATTCGGGATTTTCGAGCAAAATCGGAAGGACCCCGACGAGATCAGGATGATTAAAGAGTCTTCACAGACATACTACTTTTTATGGCCTCATTTGTGTTTAACAAAGTTAAATGAGTTTCGTTTTTTTCTTACATACTTCTTACGTACTTCTTTCAAATTTTCCAGCATGCAATCAGTGGAATGTGCTCTTAAAACTCGTTAACGTGCAGAGTAAAAATACCCCTGAACTAATGAATGATGGGATCTGGTGTGAACTGATAGTATGTGCCTTGCACCGGTACGGTTCTTGTGTCAATCCGCTGGGTATTGCACGTGGTCAATCGCACTCGAACTTCATGCTATTTTAGTTGGAAACGTTGCTGATTGGTCTTCTCATATCATGGGGAGTTCAGCCGTTTTCAAGTGTCAAAACACATAGAATACAGCGCCTACACTGGGTGCATATCACTTTATATATATTGTTTGATAACATGTAATATCAAATCTTTACTCAATGTCCCGAAAATATCTCATATTTCCCGAAAAATTTCCCAGGTTTCCCGATTCCCGGCAAAATCTCCAGATTCCCGGAATAAATTTGTTTTTCTCCCGAAACAGCCCTTGTTAGAGCTGTCACCCCCCGTCCTTGGTGATGGTCCGCCTTTCAGTAGACAGTTATCAGGGGCACCCAACGACGGTTTCCTCCTAAATACATTAAAAACACTTTTAGGCTATCCAGAGTACCGTTTAGAAGCATTTTAAGCGGTGCTGTGAAATTTGTATCTCTTCGGTCATCCTAGATTCAATAAATGTGTTTGCACGGAAGATTAGAGAAACTTGAGTCTTATTCGAAATTACACGAAGGGCTTGAGTATTATTTTCCCGAAAATTTTAGATGAAATTTGACGTATTACGAAAGTGAGACATTTTCTAATTCCTCTCTCCATCACATTTTTGAATCCGAAAATAATTTTAGGTTTCCTTTTTTCTATCATGGCGGGCACAAAGAACTCAAAAAGCTCTAAGAAAGAACACATCAAAAACTTACAATTTTTTCTGAACGCGCGCAACGAGTGCAAAGTGGGAAAGAATGCACTCGCCACTCTATGATTGATTTCAGGGGCGGATCCAGAAAATTTTAATAACGGGGATCCAACTGTGCACACTGGTGAAGCCAATAACTTACTTCGTTAGTACACCATTCCAAACCGTTACCCATTCCTTTCTACTACTGCGAAGAACCTTGCTGTCGTGATATTCTAATCGTGCAGTGCCCAGCTTTGAAGCATTCGTCTCTTGAGTTAAGTGATAGAATACTTTTGTCCAGATTTTCGTTAATTTTAAGTCATTAAGTTCCCCCCCTCTGGATCCGCCACTGGGTTTATTTTGGTTTTCCTAGAGGCAAACAACCACTTACCTTAAGTAACGTTAAGTAAGGTTCTTGAACACCATAAAATACGCGGGGAAACCATCAATGACGCCAACAAACATCGGCTGTTTTCTCAGCTTTCAGGGGCACCCAACGAGAATATGGTTCAAAACCACTTAGTCATTGCATTCAACGTTTTTTAGTATTTAAACGGTAGATATACTAATAGGCATATTTTTATCCCCTAATTTTTTTTATCTGTTTGGATTTCCTAGCTGAACGCCAGTGATCCGAAAATTATAGGGACCAAAACTTATCTTTTCGAAAATTTCAGCCAGAAAAAAGGCTCCTGAAAATTCTAGGTGACCTTTTTAGGGTAAAAATCCGTTAAAAATGGGCAATTATACCATTCTTTAGATGTTCGAAAATCCTAGGAGAGACAGGCAAGCAAGGAATTTTACAACAAATGTTCCGAAAATTCTAGATCTCAATTCGTTTTCCGAACAGATACTTTTTTCCGAAAATTGACGTTGGGTGCCACTGAGCTTTGTAGTAAAATACCTGTCCAGCTTTATGGCATGTTAGTTGACTGATTATAGTCATTAGTTTAATTCTCTTTTGTTAGCCGATGGTTTTACCAGAAAAGTAAATTTCGTTAGAGTCGGCATTTTTAATGTCACATCGTGTTTAATTGAAATATGAAAA